GACCACCTGCACCTTCATGCTACCTCCTTTAGCTGGAAAACGTAAAGCTGAAGCAATGCCCCAGTCTTGTGCTATGAAAGCAAATTGGTGAAATAAAATGCAGCCTGGAAAGTTTCCTGGTGACATTTCTCCCATGGCTATGACAGAGATAAGCGGGGCACCTATGGGAATAGGCATGAGGGTGGAAGTCTGTGTTGGACTCTCATGTTTGAAGTACTCAGATTCTGCCATTGCAAGTGACAAGTTTCCATAATTCTCATCCGTAAGCCAGCTTCCCTTCCCTGAATACGAAATTCCCAGTCAGAGGAGTGGGACAATTGATTTCAGATCAACTTCTGCATTCAAGCAAAACTACGTCCAAGAGAAAGTCTTTATGGGAAGGAACTATCCTAATTAGAGCAGTTGACACAGTGGGAATAAACAGGCATGACGACAGGCAGACAGCCTGTCTTCAGCATGGAAGTTCTAGCTCCAAAGACAAACTGGACCCAATATAGGAACAACGGCTCATTTAAGGCAGGTTTCATCTCTACTTTGCTTTGTTCTCTTCGCAGTGCTCATCCCACACAGCCTACCACCAGTATGATTTCAGAACTGATAAAGAACTCCTGTTATCTCTTTTCCCCCGCTATTAGACATGGTCTAATAGAAGATATTACCTCTCTCTATAGGTCTTGTCTCATCCTGTCCTTAGCCCCACTGGGGCTACAACACAAAAGGCTATAGTCACTTGACCCTTTCTTATTTGTGGCAACCAAAGGAGCTGAAAGAAAACCTAGCAGATGCTGCAGACAAAGGACATCACCATTAAACTCCTGCTTCCAATCTATTCCTTAATATGGGCTGAATATTCCTGTTGCTTCCATCTCTAATTTACAAAGACACAGATTGTCTGTTGTGGGGCCCATTCCCTGAAACTTCCCCAGAGGAGCTTGTGTTGTGTTCCCACAGCAGCTTTGGGAACAAGCTGACTGTAACAACCGGAGCTACCCTTGGGTTACTGGGGCTGAATCACAGCAGCAGGCAGTTTTCTTTGAGCTACATTCAGACGTGTCCCAGAGCCTTTTAACTTTGGGCGTGCAGTTAGGAAGTGTCTTTTCCCATTTACATCAACCGGCTTTGGAGGAAAGTCTAGAGCTGCAACTGGCGGTGTGGGCAGGGAGACTAGTGGTAGGTTTTTTAAACTGGGAGTCCTCTGACCACCAGAAGCAGTTCTCTCGCTCCGTGCCAACATGACTCACGCAGCCACAGGAAGAAAATCCATCTGCAACCCCTCAGTCGGAGCCGTTGCACCAGAAAGCAGAGAGCTGGCAGCCTCCGGGGCTGAGCTCTTTGACAAGTGACACAGTCTCACTCCATTTCATAGTCACTTCGTGAGCCATCTCCCAGGTTTCTGCCCACGGGCATCTCACCCTGTGGTAATGGAGGGAATACAGAGTTTTGTGGAAGAACAGTGATGCACTAAATAACCCCTGCCAATAGCAGGCTAGCTTATTGCCAGCTCCAGATGGGTTTTTTAATCAAGCAGAGCAATATTGATGGCCTGTGCTCGAGCTCTTTCACTAATTGCCTTCCAACATGAACTCAGCACAAGGTATGATAAATCCACATTTCCACCAAGCATACGGCTGGGACGAAGATACATATTTGCCTGCCTATAGGCAGAAGGCAGCAAAGGGGGAGTCTTGACAGTTAGGTCTTTCTTCTGAAGATGTTTTCACTGACTTCTTCGGATCGAGATGCATAATTTAACATCTTATGTTTTACCTCATTTGAAAGAAGCTGGCAAGCCCTCACCTCCTTACCCACAGTTTCAAGGCAGCCCTTAACACTTCCAAAGGAGCTGCATTAGGTATTCCAGGCTCTACTCATTTCTGTTATGTTTAGGAAGCACTGGGTGTTATTAGGTTGCTGCTGCTTCCCGTGCTGCCACGTGCATGGGCCGTGCAAGTTCTCAGACCTGCAGCACTCATCTATAGAAATATCTAATGGATTTTATCTTCAGGAGCTGGTGTTCAAATTGGTATTTAGGGGAGATTATTAACATACATATGAACATTGCTCTGAGTCAGTGAAATAATGTCCTGACATTGCAGAAGGCTTGGAACTTGCCAAAAGACCTTTTCAACTTTCCTACTCTTTCTTATACAAAGTATACATTAAGCATTCACCTACAGATGAAAGGGAGAAGATATTTTAGCTGACATTTTTACTGAGTTAACTCTGCTCACTTCTCTAACCGTGATGACGAGGCTGTGTTTTCAATTGCTGTTTGGGAGGGTTATCATGAATCTACTTTGTCCTTGGAGAATTTCAGAACTTGGGATGTTTCAATGAACTAAGACTCTTGTATTTCCAATTGCTTTCTCTTCCTGATTATTCCCACCACGGGGCCTTTTTCATGCACGCTCTCCATTGCTGATTAGCACCATGAATTCCTCAGATTTCCCAGGAAAGAACAAGGCGCAGCATCATCCTTTTCAGCAGTTATTTTCTGAAAGCTAAAACCACTGACGGGCTTGAGAGACCCTCCGCCCTGCAGGGAGGGCAGTGCCAGTTCTGGGTTAGAGCAACTGCACTTACTATGCTGCCTCTCCAGAACTGTTTGGGCTCATATTGAGGGCTCCCCAGCATGAACCTGCCAGTGCTCTGGGCACCTAGGTGAGCTGCACAAGTGCTTCAGGGCCAGCTCGCCTAACTTGGTTAAAGGACAGTAATTTCCTGGTGAGACAGCCAACAATCTCCCTTGTTCCAAACTGTAGGCATAATTTCATTCTCTGCTTAAATTAATATTGTTTTCTCTGTGCTTGCCTCAGAGCAATCTCTCTGCCATGAAAGCTTCCTGGGATGTCTGCCGGGAGCAGCTCTGGCCTCTTTGGCTTCCTTAGACACTCATTCCTTGGGTGATGCTGCAGGCAGGAAGGCAAGGGGCATTTCCCACCCTGCCATCCTCATAGTGCTGCTCCTCCTGAGGGTGGGAGCAAGTTTCACCTTCGCAGGCTGAGACTGAAGTCTAGAGATCCTGGGGTACCTACATGAAAGGTTCCCATGTGCTGCTAGAGAAGGCAGCAGGACAGACGGTCCCCAAATCATTTTGGAATTAGTCGTTTCTTGGGTGAATGTCTCAAGAGGCTTGGGTGTACTCTGGCTCTCTTTGATTAAAGAAACATCTGCAGGCTTTAATGAACAGAGAATAGAGCCTAGATTTATATGTCTTATCTTCCGTCTATCACATTTTCCCATCAAAAAACAAAAAAACTGGTGTGAACCTATCTTTGAAAAAACACTTTCAGACACACAGCTGGAAGCGGCTGCGAACAGACACCAGGTGTTTTCATTAAGCCCCATGTGGTGGTGTAATTTTCATTATGTAGAAGCTACTTAGCCCTTCAAAAGCGAGGATCTAGAGCTAATGCAGCTTCTGAAGAGGGACAATTTATTAATAGTATTGAAAGCCACATAGATGAGCTCTGAGATAACCCCCTCGGGCTGAGATCCCCATGCATTTGATGGTCTGTGGCACAACTGAAAATACTGGGTCTCCTGCAGGTATTTCACATGTCAGATTACAAACTTAATTCTGCCTTTCTAAAGTTATAACACAGGACTCGCCTCCAAAAAACAGGCCTGAGGGGCTGTCATATATGTTTTGTCCCATCTGCTTCACACACAGATTGCCTTTTACCTCAAAACCAGGACCAAGGAGGAAGGGCCAGGGCTGGGCTTATTCAGTCTCCTGTGAAAATTAATAGGACAAAGACCAACTAAATAGTCTCAGAATTTCTTCAACTCACTAATCAAAAGTGAACCTTGCAGCAAAAACAGTTTCTAAATAAAACAGTAAAAGAAGGTTTTGTATTTATTGTGATATTATACTTGGATATCCAAAGTGGAACCTGGATTTTCATTTTGTAACTATTTTCATTCTGTAATCTAAGAATTTTCCATCTCTCCCCCTCTTTCCTTGATCATTTCTTTTTAATGAGAATAAAATAATTCAGTTGCACTGATTTCAGTTTGGTAAGCAGGAAACATTTTCATGTGGAGGAATAGTTGAGCACTGCCATCAGATGGAGAACAGCTTCGCCTCTCCCTGCAATGGGAATGATTTCATCCATCAATGTCCTTTCCCTCCAGTACAGGCTGAGTCAGACCAAGGTCTATCTCCAGCCACAGCCAGTAGCAGAGGACCGAGAAAGATTAAGAGCAATAAAGCAGGTTATGAAATGATCAACTAGAAATTTGGAAAATTCCAGTTCTTCTTGTTTTTGTATCCTGAGACCTCCTGAAAAGGCTCCCGAGTCCCCATCTCTTCCCACCCCAGCTGCAGGGATCATGTCCCAACTTTCCCTTGACACATGTCTCTTTTTCACAGCTTTTCCTGTCATTTTTTGCTAAAACCAATTACATCTCCTGGCTGCTCCCATGATAAATGTACTGACCTCCCAGAGCAGCTTTTAAAGACATAGTAAGCATGTTCGTTTGCCAGCGAGGAGTCATTACAGTGTCTTTACTGAGCAAATAAATAAATAAATAAATAAAAGAAAATCAGACTGTCCTTATTGTCACAGCTGATTTGGGGAGAAGCAGCCCTCTTAAGTGCACTGCTTACTGGCTGGCTCTGGGAATAGGTGCACTGGGCTGTGCAGTGCCTTTCACAGAGCTATTTTCTCCCCCACACGAGCTACAGTGAGTCACAGGGAACATTATTTCTTACCTAAGTGTCCCCTCCAGGAAATTAACACGAAATACAGGTGGGGAGGAGAGCTGGCTTATTGCAGTGGGAGGATGTCAGTACCTTAGCTTCAATTTGGAAAGACCTCCTCCCTCTCTTTAAAAAAAAAAAAAAAAAAAAAATCTCAATACCTGTCCTAAGGTAGGGTATTCAGAAACTACACAAAACCAAGGTTTCTCTCCTTACAGCAGAGGCATAAAAAATATTTTTAACAGATGACCTGTTGCTTAAAACTGGAGTGTCCCATCAAGCAGCACTCGGGGAAGCTGCTCCTCTAGCTTCTTCCCTCTCAAGCATCCTTCAGGCAGGATCAGAATGTAGGATGAGGTTCTGCAGTTGTTTAAAATACACCCATACAATGCCTATTCACAGGAATCATTGAATTACATATAAAATCCTCTTCTACTTGACATTCAATGAAGTGACTGTGCCAGAACATATGGTAGTGTACCAAGTGCTTTAGTATTTCCCAAAAATGAATGCAAAAATTCCCAACAGATAAAGGCCTTTTTGATTGCTCGGGGGATTACTCAGATCTAATTACAGGTGATAGCACATCAGTATAATACAGCAGTTGCTTTTCTCTGGATGCTTTCTAGCCTTTTTTCAAAAGAACTTGGAGGTGGTTGGAGCCAGCATTCAGCTCAGATGTGGGCTGGGACCATTAACATGCAATGGATCTAATATGCCTTGTAAGCAAGGGACTTGGCTTAGTTTAGGACAAAATCAGAAACATGATGAGGAACAAAGGGCCAAAATACAATATTCAGATTTTTCTTACCTGTTCAAGACTTAGTCCAGATTCACAAGTATTTTGGCACCCGTAAGAACTTGGAGATGCTCTCCTGGGCTTCTAGCCGTGATCCTTGCCTGCTTCATTATGTCACATTACCTGGAAGAGCCCCTAATGGATTGAAACACCAGAAATCATCTTGGTTTCAGCGAAAAGAAAACATACACTGTTATCCTAACTCTATCCACACATATGTGAAAGTTTGTCTTGGATAAAAGTGGGGCAGCCACTATCTCCCTATCTCCTAATGACTTAATTTCTTCAACAGATTAGGAAATTAGTACTAGTCTTTAAAAACCTAGTGGAAACCATAGCTAAGATACAGCTATTTGCTGTATCTCCTCCCTTTTTAACAGAATTGTTGTTAACTGTATTAAGTACCTGCCTCTCAGATTCACTGTGAAGATTACTTAAAGCTGGTGCAATGCCTTGAAGACAAATCGTATGTAGGAAGGCCAAGCATCATTACTGTGTTACTAATAAGGTTATTTTAAACTCAAAGTAGGTCATGAAGGAGTTCCACCAAACACCCCTGCAAAATGCAGTTCTTAGAACAACGTTAGCTGAGAATAAAACACTAGCAGTCTCAAAAGATAGAAGCAGACTGAGAATTAGACCTTTTTTTAACATGTATGGTGCAATCACTGCTGTAACCCTGCATCACCTGGCAGCGCTGTAGGAGCCAGCCTGCAGAACGAGGTTCAGCTGTGATTAGGGCATTGCCTTGCTCCAACTACCTGATGAATCCCAAGCATCTCTTCTCCTAGCACTCTGCAAGGGCCATCATGGATTTCATTGGGGTTTTTTTGTTTGTTTTTTGGTGCTGTGGCCTTCTAGGGAGGAGAAGAAAGCCCTGAAGCCCATGCTGATGTACTTTCTGGATGATTTCTGGTGGGCTGGGATGAAGGGTTCAGCTGCATTGCAGGGACTTCAGACTGAACGATGGCTCCTTTAGCTGGCCTGGCTGAGTGGGGCCATCAGACCTTGCCAATGCTTGGATTTGCTTCCTTCCTTTGGAAGATGGCTTGTATCGAATGTTTGCTGATGCTCAGACACAGCTGCTGACATAAAGACCCTTAGAAGGTGTCATCAGTGGCCACAGCTTCTTAGGGAGAGATGTGTAGGTACCCATGGGCTGGTGGGCCCCAGCTCCTGCAGCAGGAGAGCCAGGAGGCTCCAGGGCCTCATTCAACCCCAGTTTCCCTCTCCTGTCTTCGCGGCTGTCAGCTGAGAAGAGCGGCTTGGTTTCTCATCAGGACTGGATTTCCGGCTGACTAGTCTAGAAATCTCAGATGTAGACATGAGAAATTGTTTTTTTCCCTCCTCCATCTGTTTCTCCCCTCTCCTCTGTCCCTCCTGCTTAGAGGAACATTGGTGACACATTCACAGAGTGAGTATTTCAGACATAAGCTAGTGCATGTAAATCAGAGGCTGGCAGGGTATTGCAGGACCAAGAGACAACTCCTAGTTCAGAGAAGCTGTAGCTTTGCAAATGCATTTCATTATGCCTTATATTATTACTTTTTTACATAAAAGAATTGAAATTCTAATAAACAAGCCTGCATGTTAAACAATCTTGCTTTGGTCTAAAATCCTGTCTATTAAATGCTCTAGTAACACTGTCAATCCACACAGGATGTTCTCAGCTTATTCATGCGTGCTTCTTAGCCTGTACATGCAGAATAGGAACAACCAAACCCAAACCACTCTCCTTCATGTCAGCACCTAAATTTCCAGTGTGGGTGCAGCTATCCCAATGCCCAAATGCATACAGTATTTTAATCCATTGTGTTGTACATGGCAATACACAAGTTGCTTGCATGTGAACAAGCCACTATTAGATTGGTGACCTCTCTCTACTGCTCATGCTGCAGCCCCTCCAAGTGCCACAGAAGACCCAAAAAGGTTCATGAATTTTGTGCCATGCAAGTAGCTCATCATGAGATTATCACTGGAGCTCTTAGCAGGGTTAAGATGAGGTAAATTACTTATGTAATGATAATAAACGGAGGCTTTCCCTAATCCGGATGGTGCCATTACCCTTTGCCCCTTCATGAAATGAGCCAGATGCTGATGGTATGATTTTAAACTGGGTAAAACAGAGCATTCCAGTTCATTGAGGATTTTAAATGGGCCATGCTTGCAGGAGAAGGGAACAGTTTTCCTAGTCCTCTATCCAGACCTAAGACTGCAGGATACCTCCCTTAGCAGCAGGGACATGTGTGAGTGCAGATACAACTTCCTTGCAAGTGGGAAAGATGATTTATGGAGTTTGGAAGGCTTCCACACTAGCTTTCCTCTGACCTTCCAATACTCTTGTCCACAAAGGTACCTGCACACAAATAAATTGGGCTGAAATATTTAAGCTAACTGATTCCCGAAACTCATAAAACCCACGGTGACTAAGACAGACTTATAGTTCATACCCCCCTAAGAGCCTGAAACATACGTGCAATATAAATAAATTTGTTTTTAGCAAATATAATTTTAACTTAATTGTCATTTTAAGATGCAGCAATTAAGAACAAAATCACAACTGATTGGTGCAGCGGCAGCCTGGGTTAGGTACCATGAGAAGTGAGCGCTAGGGAATGTCACAACAAATTGGCCCTAAATTACACAAAGTTGCTAAAAATATAAAGCTTTAATTATTACCTCGCAACATCAAGTGAGAAAGGGAAATGCTGCCATAGTGATGAAGTGCAAGCTCCTTTGGCGGCTGGCTCACTGGGAGAAATGTGGGAATGTGCCATTTCTGCAGCCGTTTGAGCTGCTGCTGGGAAGAACCACCCTGCTTCTCCAGTGGCTAATCTAACATGACATAAAACCCAAAACATCAGTCCAAAGACAGGAATATCTCTTATCCCACTCATTAGGGGCCACTAGGCTACAGCTTCAGGACTTGGGATCAGTCATCCTTCTCCTTCCCCTTTCGCATTCTTCCCTTCGTGCAGGTGGATGCATTCCCAATTAGCATCACTTCTGCCAAAGCCAGAAGAACCAAGACAGCAGGAAATATTATCCTTAATGCCAAGGACTTAAAATATAACCTTTTCATAGCACAGACAGACCCTGACCACAGCTAAGGTTTCTAAATGATACCTGAAAGGAGATAAATAATATAATAATAGGTGATAATAAATGTCAGGTTTGTCATAACTTGAAAATGCAATTTTCCTTCTCAGCCAGAAGGAATATAAGCTTTAAGGTTGTTATTTGCCATTAATATTCAGCCAGTTAATATGCTAGATTTCTATAATTATCAACTCTACATTTATGATATCTGTGCTTGATTGAATGTTTGCAGATACAGACTGCCCTGTGCCCTGCATGTTGCCCCTTGATTTATCAAACCCTAGCAGCCAAGGCCCTGCCTCTTTAATAAAGACAGAAGGACTCAAGGGTGCCCTGGATATTGTCGCTGTTTGCACCAGAACATCAGCAGCAGAAAAAAATAAATTGCTGCAGCTTTGAGCAGAGAGGTTACCCCTGTCCACAGCCTGCTCATTAATTACATTTAATGATGGGATGCTACAGACAAATTGTAAGAAACTGGTTAATAAAGTCTGGGAAACAAATGCTTGCAATTGTGTTATTTGCGTGCAGAGCTAGGCAGCTCCGGGAAGTATTCTGTCTGCTTCCCAGCTCTATGAGAAGATTCCTGAATGGCTGGATCGAGGGCAAGCAGGGACCAGGAGAGGCAGGGTGCCCACATTGATGGTCTCCAAGCATTTGCTGGTCACTAACGGGACAGAAAGCTCCTTGATGGTGCATTTCTGATACTGGATGAACAGCTTCACACTGGAGAGATTTGAATGGCTGGAAATAAAGTCTGAAGAACCTCCATGTAAAGTCTCCACAGTCCTTTTTCTTCTTCTCCATCAATCTTTTGTGCATTTTTGAACAGGTCAGAGGGGAAAAAAAAAAACAGAAAACTTTATACAGACCATTTAGAAAAGTATAATGTCTATTTTTTTTTAACTGAAAGTTTTGGGTATGTTGGGTGCTTTCCTATGTCTTCTTGATGTTCTTCACATGTGTGGTACTTTGGGGGCTGTAAATGATGGCTATTTCAAGAAAAGATGGTCCCTCCTCCCAGAATATATTCTAAAAGCAAAAATGACCTTAAAAAAAAAAAAATCTAATTTTTAAATCATGCTACTATTTCCAGTCATGTCACCTCCTGCTGCAGTGGTGTCTTTCTCTTTCCTCCAAAATCACCCCATTCCTCTAGAGTACGGAGCAAGCTGGGTTTAGGCCTGGTGCACTTGGTTCTGCTCTGGGAGAGCAGCAGATCCACCAGCGCAGGAAGCCAAGAAACCTGCCAGAACCAGGACCTCATTAATCAGGAACACTCATACAGTAATGAGCTATAGAAATCGTGAGGTCAGACACTTCAATCAAAGCAAACTGATGAAATGAAAAGAAAGTCTTAAGCAAGATGCAGAACAGGATTTTCGGAAATCTGCTCCTCTGACAAGCGTGTTGATAGAAATGAAAGGTCATCAGTGAAACCGGGAACAACTACAAGCTTTTATAATCCATAAATTAAATGTAAAGACTCTCCTGCAACCTAAGGGCATTCCTGCAGAAGAGATGCCTACCAGGGAAGCCCTATCAAGCAGGTCACATCTTCAGAGGGCAGAGCCCTGCTTCACAGTTGCAGATGCTCAAGGATTTGCACTGGCAAAATAAACCTATCTAGTGATACCACTTCTCCAGAGTATGTCAGTTCTTTGATAAAAGAGTTTGCAAACTGTACATCTAAACAGGAATCAAAGCCAGGCGCTTCCCAAAGCAGAGTGTGACAACCAAGAACTTTTCAGTTGAATCCAGCTTGCTGCCAAAGTGTCTTTCGCTCACAAGTGCTATCTGCAAGCCTGGAGAGTTTGCATGGTGTAAGGCATCGCTAACCTTCTATCTCTCCTGCTCCTCAGATGAGAGAAGCTTCCCCATCTGCTCATATTTGCCCTTCTGCGAGACTTGCTGCATTTCTCCGCACAGACAGGAATTAGACAGACACAGTGTCTGGGAGCAGGGCCGCAGCGCATCCCGGCTTTCGGGAAGCGGCTCCGGCAGCGCCCCGCCACCTCCTGCCACCCACGCTCGCCAGCTCTCCTTCCACAGCTTTCCTCTTTGGGACAAATAAGTTCAATAGGAACTGGTTCAGAAGAAGGCTGGATTACATGAATGGTGGGTCTGGGCTTGAATCCCCCTTTTTCAGGAATTTCCGCACCTACAGCCCTACATTCCTGCCAGTCAGACCAGCCTGGGCTCCAGTTGCCCCCAGCCTGGTCACTGCTGCTCTAATGGCCTGTTCCGCATCTCCATAACCTCATACTGGTACAGCAAGGCCTTGAGAGCAGGGATAGCCTCTGGGAAACCTCTGGGCACATGGATACTAGTAATGGCTCTTACGTCACCAAGTGATTAAGGCAGAGCTGATAAGCAGTCGGGAGGAGAGCTCTTGGTGGCAGCAGCTGGGGAGATGCAGATTCCTGGGAAAATGCAGACTTGGAAGGG